CACACACAAAAGGAATGTTCTTGGAAGGAGTAGTGACAGGCAATGTGACCATATCCAGATTTGGCCTTGATTTTCCTAAAGTCACCTTTAAGTTCTTCTTTCTCAACTTGTTGAACTCGCTGTGAACTTATAGGTGATTTTTTTTCAGAATGGATAAAACATTTACTAAATGCTTTCAAGCCTCTCAATGGCAGGTGATTTCCATTGCTCTTGTACTGTCTTCCCAGATGAATCACTTACTACTGTTTAGAGAGTAATTCTCCAAGATTCCCAGTAATGGGAGGAGTCCTGAGAGTCATTTTCTTTATTTCATTCAGCATCAGGCTTTTCGGGAGACTTTGTATTTCCTTGAACCCAGGACTTAGTTCTATTACGCTTCCTGTGTAAGGCGCTCTTTTTCTTCTTAAACTGTACATTTGGTATTTTTCCTTGTTTAGTTTGCTCCTTTTCATTATAGATCTGCATAAGAGTAATCACACAGTCAATCCTAGGCTCTCTTGAAATCTCCTCTGCCAATGCCATTAATCTAAAAGTCTTCCATTTAACCTCAGGCAGATTATTTTGGACAAAGGCAGAAAGCAACCACCTTGTTTACAAAAATATCCTAAGAACAGTCTCTAAACTGTTCTTGAGCTGAGCCATCATAATCTACATTTCTCTCAGTTCTATTGTCCTCCAGTGCTCCTGCTAGGATGTCCCATTTGGCCTCACTTAAAGCATCCAACTGCTTTTACAGTCCAACATCCCAAAGTCTTCCAAAACCAGCATGGTCAGCAACACTCCACTCTCTGGTACCAACTTCCTCTGTCTTAATGCTCTATTGTTGTTAAAAAGGCACCATGACCACAACAGCTCTTTCAATGAAAAGTATTTAGTTGGGTAATGCACAATTAATAAAAGCTCATGGGTAGATATTGGGGTTCAACCCAAAGTCTGAAAAGCAAAGCAGCTAATAATCACTGGCTCTTACCTTGACCTCAGTCTGAAAATGGTGATCCTGACAGGAAACCTCAGAATGAGACTGTGACTGAGAGCTGTCTCCTCCTGTTCTATAATCCTTTCTAGGGCTGGGATTAAAGGCATGCCCCACTGTGATTAAAGGTACGCACTGCCTGGTTTCTATGGCAACTAGTGTGGCTACTGGGATTAAAAGTGTATATTATCACTGCCTGGTCTGTAAGGCTGACCAATGGGGCTGTTTTACTCTCTGATCTTCAGACAAGCTTTATTTATTAAAATACAAATGAAATGCCACTACAGTTGGGCTTACTTAGAGTTTCAGAGGTTTAGTCCATTATCATCATGGCGGGAAACATGGCAGCACATAGGCAGACATGGTGCTGGAGAAGTCCTAAGAGTTCTACATCTGCAGGCAGCAGTAAGAGACTCTAGGTTTGGCCTGGGTTTCTGAAACTTAAATGCCCACCCCCAGTCACTAGTGCCACTCCTTGGTGACCAAGCATTCAAATGTATATGAACTGATGGGTGCCATTCTTATTCAAACCACTGTGCATTCCATAAAAACATGCTGATCTTGGGAGCCTGAGAACTTGTGAGTTGCTTCCACATACCCCTGCACATTTTATGTACCACGGAAGCCACAGGCTCGGAGGGTTAGTATTGACGGCAACTTGATGAATAACCTAGGAGACGACCTCTGGGTACATCTATGAGGAAGTTTCCAGGTTGAGTTAAGGAGGTGGGAAGAACTGCCCTAAAAGTTGGTGTTATCATTCCATGGGCTGGGTTCAAGACTGAATAAAAAGGTCCTAGGAGCTGAGCATCCGCATTCCTTCTGCTTTCTGACTGCAGACACAGGGACAGCATGCCTGAGTTCCTTTACCAAAGCTTCCCAGTCGCAAAGGTCTGTACCCTTGAAGTGTGAGCCAAAACGAAGCCCTTCCTTTAGCTTCCTTTAGCTGCCTTTCTTTGTTGGGTATTTGTTGCTAATATCAGGCCTGGATCTGGTGTTTACTTGTGTGACAAAGAAATCTGATCAACCTGTGTTTCTGCTCCCTTACTACTGGGGATAGCATTAGGGGCTAACTTATGGGTGTTGGAGACAGCTAAGTGACTTATTACACATGAATACCCAGAATGCCAAATATCTAACCACGAATAACAGCTGCTGCATATCCTTTGCCAGATGTCTGTGAGTTGGAAATGAGCCTCAATTCTGCAGAAAATATTAAAAATCTAAGCCTTAATGAAAAGTTATACACATTTGCAATAACATTTGACTGCAGTATCTACATGTTCTTTGGAAAGATATTACTTCATACACCTCTGTAGGTACACAGGTTCCCCATTTTTCCGAGGTGTTTTGCAGGGCTGTTCTGCTTCCTGGTTCCACTGCATCAGCTTGAGGGTGTGGCATAGAACTGCCCTCTCCTGTTATGTTAATTTCACCTACGGCCCAAGGGTGTAGCTTAGAGAGAACTCTCCCTCTACTGTCATGGTAATTCCACCTGCAAGCAAGGTTCTCGCAGCAGGCAAGGTTCCCGGGTCAGCTCGTCCCTGAACCTGAGCATGCCCACCTGGCTTCCTCTTTTCTCTGTTCAGCCGCTCTCCGACCTTGGGTGCGGCCCCCTGACTTTTCTCTTTCCTTGATCCTGATGGGGGGCTGGTGTCCTTTTGCCCCACAGTATATATACCCGACTTATGCTTAATAAAGCTGCCATTTGCCACTTGCTCTTTGGCAGATGAGCCGGTCTCTTTGTGTGTGTGTCATCTGTTCAAACCCCTAGGACATGCGTCCGTTCTCGTGGGCTCGAGTCAGGAAAGCGCGCGCCTGTTTCGAGGTTCGGGTGTCCACAGAAAAGTGCGGAAGCTTACACACCTCCAGTTTTTAATTTATACAACCCAATATTTCCCTCAGACACTACCCAAGTGCAAGATATCTGCACAGATATAGACTGAATCCTTCTAGTTATTTTTAAATTGCCTGTTATATCTAAAACCTTTAAAGTCTACCACTCCTAATTAAAAATGAAAATTGATGTATGTGTTACCATTTTGCCTTTTTACTCAATACATTTTTGGGTATTTGTGCAAGTTAGTCTTTTTGTTTATTTTTTTGTTTGTCAGCTGGATATTGTGGACAATCATTTTGTACACTGTGAAGATATGCCATTCTGATTGGTTTAATAAAAAATTGCATGGCCAATAGCTAGACAGGACTTTCAGGAAAGAGAGCACACTGGGAAGAAGGGTGAAGATTCTCCAGATGGAGAGAAAGCAACATGGTAGTCAGAGTAAAGGTAATAAAACCATGAGACAAAAAGTAGATTGATTAAAATGGGTTAACTTGTAAGAGCTAATTAGTAACAAGCCTAAGCTATTGGCTGAACTTTTATAATTAATAATGAGTCTCTGTGTCATTTTTGGGGAGCCTGTAGTCCCGACAAAAATGTCTCACTACAAATGGACATAAGCTAACGTCATCTGGGAAGAGAGAACCTCAATTGAGAAAATCAATCCGTCAGATAGGCCTGCAATTATTTATTACTATTTATTTTATGTGTATAGGTATTTTGGCTACATGCATGTCTATGTACTATGTGTGCAGTGCCCATGGAGGGCAGAAGAAGAGTTTAGATCCCCTGGGACTAGAATTATAGGCAATTGTTAGGTGCCATGTGGATGCTTGGATTTAAACTCTGACCCTCTGAAAGAGCAGCCAATGCTCTTAACTACGGAGCCATCTATCCCCTGGCCAGGTAGTTCTGGACTGTATAAGAAAACAAACTGAGTACACCATGGGGAGTTAGACAGTAAGCAGGACTCCTCCAAGGCCTCTGTTTTAGTTTCTGTCTCCAGATTCTTGTCCTGGTTTCCTTCAATGATGGACTGTGATTAGAAGGTATAAGTCAAATAAATCCTTTCCTTCCCCAAATTGCTTTTGGTCATGGCATTTATCACATTGGTAGAAAGAAAACTAGAGCTGTACATGTGTATATAAGTTCATGTGTGGTACATGTGTATATAAGTTCATGTGTGTGGGTGTGTGTATGTAGATCAATGCCCAGGGTCTTCCTCCACTGTTTTTCACTTTATTTTTTAAGACAAGGTATGGTGGTTTCAATGAGAATAGCTCCCACAGGTTTATGTGCTCGAAAGCTTGGTTAGTGGAACTGTTTTAGGAAGGATTTGGAGACGTGGCCTTGTTGGAGGAGGCATGGCCTTGTTGGAGGAGGCATACCACAGGGAGTGGAGGTTGGATTTTGAGCTTTCAAAAGTCCACACCAGGCCCTAAACCTTGTTAGGCCCTAAGTCTTCTTACCCTGGCCCTAAACCTTACCTTCAACTTGTGGATCAGGATAGAAACTCTTAGCTACTACTCCAGCTCCATGCATGCTGCCATCTTTCCCACCATGATGGTTATGGACTAACCCTCTGAAATGCTAAGCAAGCTCCCAATTAAGTGCTTTCTTTTATAAATTGCCATGGTCACGATGTTTCTTCACCACAATAGAAAAGTAACTAAGAAACAAGGTGTCTCACTGACCACGGAGCTTGGCAGTTTGGCTGACTGACCAACACGGAGGGGTCCTCCTGACTCTACCTCCCCAGTAATGGCATTATAGGTGTACACTGCCAAACCTGGCTTTTTAAATGGAGTCTTATATTTGTGCAGCAAATATTTTACTGGCTATGTCATTTCCTGAGTCCTAAATGCATGCATTTCTGAAAAAGGCACTTTTCTTCCAGGCAAGCCTACTGAATCAAAGAATATAGCTATCTAAGACAATGAGGACCATTTCCTGAGTATTTTCTAAAATTATTTTCTTTTGATATGTCCTTAGATCTTGCATTATGTTATTGGTCTACTCTTAGGGAAGACGCTAGATTGTGACTAACTAGTTCATTGCAATTGACTTTGATGGAAATGTCAAGAACCAAGAGGAACAAATACAAGAGAGAAAGAAAGCTTTGTGAAAGAAGTACGCTTTCAGGGCTGAAGAATAGGGAGAGAAAATGAATACAAAACCGAACCTTACAGCACTTGAATGTTGTTTTGGTCAATTTGGCAGACAAAGTCATAGCAGACAATTGAAGGACTAAATTCTCTTTTGTGATCCTGAACTTATTGTTCAGGCTGAGTTTTGATACATATGAAAAAGGGGTATGAATCACAAAGAAGAAAAAGAAAGAAAAGAAAACCCAAAGTGATTTGTTCAAGTGCACACTACTCATGAGAACAAAGGAATAAATTGCTAACCTGCACCGGCTAGGAAGGATGTAAACACACAAAGCCAACTGCAGGACGTTTGGACTTAGGAACCTGGTTCATTCTAAGTCAGGGATATGGAAAAGCAGAAAGACTGAAAAGGACTTCGGAGCTCAAATCAAAAGCAGTGGTTGGAATCTACGTGGTTCTAAATGCAACCAAATTATGACAAAAGAAACTGGTGAGAATACATGTTTGAGACAACAGCGAAAACATATTAGTAAGGACTGAGAGTCATGCAGGCTGTTGTGACTATCAGCTTCGATGACGATGAAATGGCACCGCATACCTCTGTCATGCGTATGCTGTGTTGATAAACTCATGTTTCCCTCTTACATCACACTATCATAATCACATAAAACTATTGAATGGCATAGTGAGACAAGAAGGAATAAAATAAACTGACATCTGAATGTTGCTCCCTTCCACTTCCTTCCCCCTTCCCTGTTCCTCCCTCCCTTCTTTGCAAGGGAGTCCTATGGGTGTTCATTTTACTGTTTCCATGTATGTCTAATTTTTCATAACAAAATTTCTTTTCAAAATGACTGGCATATTGCTTTAAAATTTTAATATCCTCTTATCATAGGTAAAATATTATAATTGTATGCAATTTTAGACCAATACAATTAAATTATACAAGGTGAAAGTTAGATTTTCATCATGTCCTTGTCAGAAGTGAGCTTTCACAGGGTGAATAATGACATCTTGCTGTTAATCAAGGTATCTGAATATGTCTATTCAAATTTATTTTTGTCAAATTTTTCTTTGTAATAGTCACATCCTTTATTACAAGACAAAACTAGACATGTATCATAAAAATAAATTAGCCAAGCTTATTCTAAATGTACTTCTAATAGCATTTGGGAGGCACATTGGAGAAAAGAAGATGAGAGGGCCCCAAGCTTTCAAATTATAAGTGTCTAGAAGAATGGGAATGTTGTTCAAATTCTGAACATTGAAACACAGACTTTTTGATGGTGGTGTTATCATCCTGAAGCAGAGTCACTGTGTAGTCTGGACTGGTCTGTAACTGAAGGTTTCTCTCCTGCCCCCAGTTCCTGAATAAACACTCAGAGGCTTACTATTAATTATAAACTATTTGGCCTATTAGCTCAGGCTTATTATTAACTATCTCTCACAACTTAAATTAACCCATTGCTATTATTCTATATTTTACCATGAGGCTCGTGACTTAGTACCTCACATCTTGCTTCCCCAGTGACTGCTGGTGTCTCTCTGACTCTGCCTTCTTTTCCTCTGTATCTCTGTTTGGATTTCCTGCCTAGTTATATATAGTCTGCCTTGCTATAGGCCAATGCAGCTTCTTTATTAACCAACGATAATAAAACATATTCACAGCATACAGAGGGGATGTCTCATGGTCTTGAGTTCACAATCTTCCAACCCCAGCCTTCTGCATGCTGTAAGATGTGGGCTAGCTTGAACATGGTTACGGTAAGTTACGGAGTTCCATTTTGAATATTGTGTGAGAGGGGCTGGTGGATACCACAGGGGAAGAAGTATGTCAAGTTTGTGGGTATGTGAACATCATTTAGGGATACTGATTGGGAGTCTTTATGTCTAGCAGCAGTTTATGATGCTCTTAATAACAACATGAGGGGGGAGGAGGTACAGATAAGAAGAAGGAAATGGCCTGAGCCATGAGGGACCATAATGTTTAGGAAAGAATAGAGATGAAGGCATTTTGAGTGTCAAGAGACCAGATAATAACAGGAAACAAACTTCCTGGCTCCTCTTATTTCCTTACCACAAAGATAAGATCTTTGAAAAAAAGTTTTATGTAGGATTTCCTTTAGTTTCTTAATAGTTGAGCTTGGAAGATTAAGAGATGTGGGCTTGCTTGTAGTCCTCTTCCCCTTCTTCCCAGCAGGTGTATCTTAGTTAGCGTTTCCATTGCTATGATGAAACACTATGACCAAAGACAAACTGGAGAGGAAAGAGCTGGAGAGATGGCTCAGAGGTTAAGAGCAACACTGGTCATTCTTCCAGAGGTCCTGAGTTCAATTCCCAGCAACTATATGGTGGCTTTCAACCATCTGTAATGAGATTTGGTACCATCTTCTGGCACATAATAAATAAATCTGAGAGAGAGAGAGAGAGAGAGAGAGAGAGAGAGAGAGAGAGAGAGAATTGACTTGCCCATAGGCCAATCTGATTTAGTCATTTTCTCAATTTGAAGTTTATCCTTCTAAGATGACTTTAGATTACGTCAAATTGATAAAAATCTTAACCTGCATGACAAGGAGAAAAGTAAGAGGTGTCAGAATGGAGAGGATGGATTGCGAAAGGAGAGAGAGGTGCTAGGGACTGGAGGTCACAAAGGAAAAGAAACGGAAGCAAGACAGGACACAGCTGAACAGGAAGCTGCGATGTGGAAAGGGAATTTTGTATCTTTGAGCAACTAGATCTTTAAAGAAGGCCTTGCTAATGATTTCCTGGAGATGTGTCCCAAATGCAACTCTAAAATGGAAAATAAAAACATGTTATAAAAGGTTCAAATAACTAGAAAGAAAGGAAGGATTTAAACAATTCCTTGTAATGGTCTCTTCAATGCCCGGTTCGAGTCTTGACTAAGGCAGGGGATGTGATAGTCTTTCCAACCCCTTCCTGCAGCTAGGCAGGCAGTGTCTCTTGGTGTCATAGCACAATGTCCCAAGCACCTAAATAGATTATGTTATTAGTGTCAAGGCAGATCATGTAGTTGGAACTGGGATCTTTGTTTCCTAGCCGTTCAGAGATCCGCTTCCATTAGTTCACTTCAGAGTGAAGGCTATCTGCAGAACTTTAGGTCCTCACTCATTGTCTGGGAAGAGCAGGTTCCAAACACTGGAACCTGATCTGCTTCCCTCATAAGTTCCATGTGAGGAGAAGCAGGAAGCAAAGACAGTGGTTCTTTGGTTTTGGGTGTTGAGTGAACAGTGAGACCCAAGCCTCCAATAGTTTATACTGCCTTTTGAGAGGCAACCGAGAGAAGCCCCCAATGCTAATTGGTGTGATCTCTCCACAGATGACACTCTGGTTTGGAATTCAGTGTCTGAAAAGTGTTGGGGGTGCATCAATGTGCAGTGCACAGTCATGTACACTGTTAAAGATCCCGGGCTCTGGAATGCTGCTGGACACATGTGTGACATTTGCAAATGAAAATTGCTCTCCCAGGGAAGTAACTCAGCATTGCTATGCTCCGGCTAGTGTTGAGGGATGAATTTGCCTGCTGCATGAGACCCAGGAGCTTCAGTAGGACATTCAGGAAGCTACCCAGAGTTCCCCTTCTTCCCTTCTTCTCCATTTTGCAGCCTGCATTATTAAGACTAAAGGGTCTAACTCGCTCCTCTGCATGGGGCTGACCATGGTAAGCTAAGGGAACATGAGCTTGAAGTCAACTTGCACAGGATAAACCCCAAGCCCAGTTCTTGTTCCTCTGTCAGAGTTACTTTTCCATCCCTTCCTCCGGCTCTCCGGAAAATACTGCCTGGCCCTTGGAAATTGCATGCGGATCCTCTCTCGGCCCCTTTAGTGCGTTTTCTTTTGAAACACTCTGAAAGTTCACTTCCTGCATGAATGCTTCACTGCTTGAAAAGAGGTAGCGAACTTGTCTTCCCTTTTTGAAGAAGTCACTTCCCATAGCCCTGCTGGTCCAAAGCCTCAGCAGGACTGACATGGTTAGGCTCTAGGATGTGCACAGATGGAGGCTTCAATTTTTGTCTTGGGAAGAAAATGTCGCTCACCCCCTCCCGCCACCAACACAATAAGCATCAAGCTATGGCTTCCGCACCACAATTTAGCTAGGAAAATGCAATGTGCTTTTGTGCATTCTTTTTTCAAGTTCCTGACTAATAGGAAATCTTTTCCCTCTGAGAAGCAGACAAAAGAAAGGGCGCCTGTCATGCCCCCCCAACCCCCGCCCTTTCATTTCTTGCTGCTCATTCTGGCCACTCTCCTTGAGCTCTTGTCTAAAATTTAATTTGACTGTTTTATTAGCTAACAATTACCCAAGAAAGAAAAAAAAATGGGGGAAGGGAAGACAGCTTTTCATTATTTTGCCATTTTTCAAGAATTAAGGGCTTTGAAAGGCTGTGACTAAAGAGGTTCTGCTGAATACTATCTTACCAATTCTTTATGAATGAATCCATCCTGTTCCTGTGCCTCCCGCGGGGCCCGGCTGTGATAGACTCGTTCCTCTTACTTCAGAAAACCAAGCTTGATGCTTAGTTATCTTGGGAAAGAGAATTATTTAAGAAGGTGACTACCAAATTTGGATGTCCCTCACTTCCCCACCCCTACTCCCACCCTGTTTTGCAAGACATAAATGAGTTGGTATAATTTATTTATATTTATTTATATTTATTTTTTTGAGAAGGGGTCTCATTCTGTAGCTTTGGCTGGACTGGAACATACCACCAGGCCAGTTTTCAAACTCCTAGAGATCCACCTGCCTCTGCCTCCTGAGTGCTGGGATTAAGGAAATGCCTCCACTTGGGTTAATGTTGTTTTTGTTTGTTTTGCTTTGTTTTGTTTTTAGTACCTTACTCTTTTCTTTTTATGCAATAAAAAAAGAGAATCAATTCCCAGGAACCAGGCAAAACTAGATTCAAATTCTGGCTGTTGGTGTGAACTTAGACAAATCAAAATGCATAGAGCATTCAGCAGGGACTCTACAGTGAAGAGATACGGATAGCCAATGAGGAAAGGCCCTTAAAGTGCCTTGCACTGAGCGGGTTCCTGCCGTTTGTGTTGTTTGCCTTTGTTTCTAAATCTTGGGGGGATGGATAGTGAAACTATTCATCTGAACTGCTGCAGATAAACAACTCATGGAAAAAGCACAGGCTAACAGAGCGAGCAAACGTGCGAGAACGTGTAACGCGAAAGCCTTGGAAGAGCC